AGTCTGAGGTCTTTTAGCAAAGTGAAAATGGAAAAATGTTCTTGACACTAGTGTGTACCAAATCACTATGTTATTGCTATCCCATAGGATACCTTTATATGTGGTCCAATAGTTTCATTTTAAAATTTTCATTTTATTTTGCCAGAAATTTAACTTTGCCATTAGTTAAACTTAAGATAAACATTTTAGAGATGAAATATAAAATATGTAAAAGTACATTTTTCAAAAATCATAGGAAGTATTTGTGCAAAAATGTTTGGAGTTCTGTGTTTTAAGATAAATATTAATGAAAGCAAATTGAGTCAGTCTTATTTTATAATTCCGTGGGTTTGTCCCTTGTAATACTTTATGAGCCTTGGACATGCTAGTGGATATGGAGAGGTTTATTTTGTTGTTTAAAGTTTTGGAGGCAGGAAGAATATCAACTCTTGTGTTGGATCAAATCAAATCAAATAGAGAATCAGCCTATGGTCAGAATTTTCTCTCACCCTAAACAAAGTTAAATACAGAAATAATGAAATAAATTCAGCTTATTTTAAGTCAAGCCCTTTTTTACTGGTTTCAGCCAAAGCTGTAAAACTGAGTGCCATTTGGTACCTGCCTTAGATGGCAGAAGAAGTCAGAAGGCAACAAAGCTTTAGCGCTCAATAAACCTGGTTTAAACTTTATTCCAAAGGTTAAGTTTGATTGAAAAATCCCAAAGAACAAAAAAAGACCTAATTCCTCAATGTTCTTGGTATTTTCAATTCTGAAGTCAGTTGGATCCAAAGCGTCTGACCTCCCATCCCTATTTTCCTCTTTGACAGTGCTGAACTAAACAGCTCTTAAAAATCATAGAGTCAGTTGAAATTCAGTCAGGGCATCTGTCAGTACCATAATAGCAGATTTGGGCCAACATTTAAAAATGAGCAATTTGGAATCTGGTTCATTTTGGCATGCTGAGAGCCTGGCCAAAGTCTTCCCATAGCAGGTGGTTTAGTGGGAACTTGGTTCGTGAAGGCTCTGATGTGCTTCTATTTATACCTCTGTGTTAGATGATAAGCCTGAAGCTATGGTTGCTGTGAGTCTGCCAGACAAGAATCTAAAACAAAGCACAGAGTTGATTACCACTGGGCTCATTGCCAAGGGTCCTGCCACAATACTGCATAAGTGTAGTGCCCAGTGCCCCAATTGTGATTGGCCTTATTGTTTGTTTCTGGTGTCGGTCTAGCTGTCAGTACCACAGTGGATTGTATCTGTTCTCTCCCAGAAACCAGACGGCTAATGTTTAGTGGTGAGGTGGGGCTAGATACACTCACCCTGTATCATTGAGTAGAGCATCACTTAGTCACATATTAGACACCAGAAAGCTTTCTCAGCGAGATGGTGGAAGAGGTTCCTGTTCATAGATCTTAGCAATAAAAGCACTCCTTAATTTTATATAAACACACATTAAATACAAACATAAGTAAAGTGTTATAAAGATTTTTAAATGCATGGCCTTATTTGATGCTTATAACCACTTAGTGTTATAGGAGAGGTTTCTATTATCATTCTCATTTTCACATGAAAGAGGAAGTTAGAAGAGTTAAGTGATTTGCCTAAGATCACTCAGCCAACAAGAAGATCCAAGAATGATTCTGAGCTTTGCCATCTCTCCTCAGCTTTTGTTTGATGCACAGCCATCTGATATCTAAGTGGAGAGAATGGTGGCCTGGTGATTGCATTTAAGACTTATAATGATAAATTTAAAACCGTAACATTTAGCAGACCTCTAGTTGTGGCTACTACTGCTGTTGTGCCACAAATTCTAGTGTATTGATTTTTATCCATGCAGCATTTTAATATTGTTCATTTTTAAGTGGACTTAAAAATGAACATTAGAATCCTACCGTCTTTGCAGTGTCTGTAGGGGTTAGTTTTTTTGCCTGGAAGGATGCTGTGAGGAAATATATTTTCAGGTGGTTTGGGTAAGGCTTATAATGTCTGGATAGCATGAAGTTGGTAATTAGATCATGATGGAATAGCAGCAATTTTTTTTTGTTCAATTAATCAGAAAATATCATGGCATGCCTATGATGTTCAAAGAACTATGCCAAGTTGCTAAGAACTATACAAGGACTGACTGCCTTCAAAGAACTTACAGTTCCATTGGAGAGATAATACATGTGTATACAAAATAACCAGCCACATAGGGAAGCTATTTATAATGGCAAGGGTAGGTACGAGGCAAGGCAAGTCTGTAGGAGGAGAGATCACAGTGAGTTGAGGTGATTTTGGGAGACTTGTAGATTTTTTAGTGGAAGCCAAATTTAGATACTGTATATGAAATGGGGGTAGGTTTCTAGATGGTATGTTGGGAATGAAGAAACAGCCATATATAAAGAAATAGCACTATAAAAGAATAAAACATATTGTGGATATGAGTAGACCTGTCTCACTCTGGACAGGAATTTATAATACAAAGGAGTGGAAGATAGATGTCAGAAAATTGATGGGAAGATTATGGGTGGCCCTGAATACCTGCATGAAGAGCTTATTCTGCTATCTGTAAGGAAAGAAGTGTCATTCAAGTATTTTGAATGGGAGGCAGAAACTTAGAAAGCATCATTTTACCTGGTGGCAGTGTCCAGGATAGAGTGTGGAATAAAGGGAACAACAGACTATCAGTGGAGGGACAAGTTAGAAAATGGAGCAAAAATCTGGATGGGAGGTGACCATCAGCAGAAGAAGAAATAGCAAGAGTTGTTATCTTGGAGGAGAGGAGCATATCAAGGGTCCTCAAGACCACCCCCGGTTCAGTGATTCACTAGGAGGACTCACAGGACTCAGTCTGTAGTGCTAACATCTATGGTTTATTACAACACAAGAATACAAAATAAAATCAACAAAGGGAAGGGCTCATGGCACAAAGTCTGGAGGAGGCCAGCCACAAGCTTCCAAGAGTTCTCTCCCAGGGGAATCACACGGAATGTGCCTAATTCCTCCAGCAATGTACTGTGAAACACATGTGGAAGGAATATTGGACTCAGTGTCCAGGGTTTTTATTGAGGCCTTTTTACATAAGCACCCTCTGCATTGCACATAATAAAATTCCAGACTTCCAGAAGGACAGCAGAGATTCAGCATAAACTACATTGTTTGCACAAAACGTTTCTTTTCTTTTTTTAAAAAAATTTTAATCTATAGACAAGGTCTTACTGTGTTGCCTAGGCCAGTCACAAACTCCTGGGCTCAAGCAATCTACCTACTTCAGCATCCCAAAGTGCTGGAATTACAGGTGTGAGCCACCATGCCCCACCTGTGCAAACAGTTTAGGCCCAATGAGACACTCTTAACTGTGCTGACAATTGGAGAAACCTTCCTGAAATCCAAGTTCCCAGATGCCAACCAAGGGCCAACCTTGCAAGCAGTTTTTCTTTACTTTTTAAAAATTTTTTATTTTATTATTATTTTTTTTGAGATGGAGTCTTGCTCTGTCACCCAGGCTGGAGGGCAGTAGCACGATTTCGGCTCACTGCCACTTCCAACTCTTGGGTTCAAGCAATTCTGCTGACTCAGCCCTCTAAGTAGCTAGGATTACAGGCGCCTGCCACCAAGCCCAGCTAACTTTTCTATTTTTAGTAGTGATGAGTTGGCGAGGCTGGTCTTGAACTCCTGACCTCGGGTGATCCACCTGCCTCAGCCTTCCAAACTGCTGGAATTACAAGCATGAGCCACCGCATCCAGCTGCAAGCAGCCTTTCTAAGAAGTCTGATTTGCTATGTTAACTCTTTTCTGCACAGGGAGTGATAATACCACTTAGGTTTTTGAGAAGGAGGTATTGATGGATACAATTTTCAAAACCCAGGAGAGTCTGATCTTAAGGTCATGTCTCTGGAAGTGGTAGTTGAGGTTGGAGCAAAAGTAGTGAAACCAATCCTGGTCGTCTGTCCACATACAGAAGACTGGAGAGGTAGAAGAGAACTGGGACGGTGTATTAGGAAATCAAGAGAGGATAGAGGTTCAAAAGGAGGAAATGCTTGGTAGTATATAAAGTACTGCAGATGGGCAGGGATTATGGGCACTGAAAAATGCCATTGGGACATCATTTAATAATGTTGTAATGGATTTTCAACTTAAAAATTATCTGTACACATTAAGTCAGACTTGTTTAGCCAGTGCCTTGAATAGCTTTCCTGCCTATCACATCTTTCTGTTTTCTTTGGATCACCTTACAAAAGCTCTGTTTTAACATTTTTTATTGTGGCTTTGAATTTTTTGTTTGGGTTTAGATTTCACAGGCAGAGGGAAATGGATGAGCTTTGGGAAGGCTAAAAAAATTCTTTGTGTAATACTACTTATTTATCTCCGGCCATTATTTAGGGACAGCAGCAGCCGAAAATCACCTCTTCTTGATGGAAAAGTAATTCAGTTTGTTCCTTTAAGAGGATTGGGTTTACCATTTCATTGATTTCATCATTGCTTCCTGGTAAAGAATAAAAATTAAAAGCTCCTTGTTTTGAGTAGAGACATCTCAAGGGGCTTATGAAAGTGTCTGAATTTACTACTACACCCTTGGACTTCTCCAAGACCCTGAGTTCCAGTTATTGTCTCTGAAATTTCATTTTTTTTTTCTGGGTTCTCAGACGCTAAAGGTGTATAGAGCCTCTAACATGAATGATTTTTGTTATACAAGACCATGTGAACCAATAGTGGCTTTTCCTTTGGTTGTAATAAAAATATATCAGAACTATATTTATTTTTTCAAAAACCTCGTTTTGTGTGTTTGACTTTGAGTAGTAGTGGGCTAGGAAATACCAGCACCTCCTCTCTCTCTCACTCGAAATGCTTCGGGAATAGAAAATCATTGCAGGCAGAAAGTGGAGAGTGTGGTGCTCAATGTGGCATTTGCAGTTCTACTTCCCTCCAGTGGTGGGTGACAGTTCTGGCCTTATTCACGTCATTGCACTTCAGGAGGGCAAATGTGTGCTGTAACTGAGTTGGTTTTAAATTCTCTGTCTCTTGTCCTAATATCCCAGGGCTTCCAGCAAAAGTTCTCCTTCCACAGTAAAGAGATTGTGGCTATCAGCTGTTCCTGGTGCAAGCAGGCGGTAAGTTTGGGATGAAATAAAGCAATGTGGGCTCATGTTTTGTCGGAATACACTTATGTCATTATTTGAGTTCCTCCTTGGAAGTAGAAGGCATTCCTAATTTAATGTATTGCTTTTCTCATATAGGATCCTTGGAGGAAGAAAGACAGATTGAAACTATAGAACAATAGCATAGATGAACTGGGATACACTAGAGAGATAAATTAACTTCTGTATTTTATATACATTGAAGCTTGGGGTCAAAGACTAGAAAATCCTTCCCTAATTCTAACACTGGGACTAGAATTGAGGACTTCTTACTCCACATTTTCCCCCCAGTGCCTCTATATTGTTGAGAACTCCTCCTATATAGGAAGGTGCAACATTAGAAGCAAAGCAACGTACGACATACGAGGTCCCTCCAACATGGGTGGACACGAATCCTGGCTCTTCTGGTTTTAATGTTTAAAGTGCATGACTTTTTATTTTGGGGCTAAGTGTGAGGATAAGAAGAGTGGTTCTTGTATGCTTTTTTAGGTTTGGATGTTGTCTGTATGCTCACTGAAATGTAGCTCTTTCTTACATTTTAACATATATATTCATTAGGATCTGATGGTAACGTCCCTATTTACTTTTCTTCAATCTACCTTTTCCCCCACTTTATTTAGAGCCTAATTCCTCTGTCTGTACCAGATGCTACATTTTCTTATTTGTTTGTAACCATGTACCTGTGCACCTGTTCTTTCTTTTACCAGATAACATATAGTCTAACCCAGGTGTTGGCAGACTGCAGCTCATAGGCCAAGTCTGGCTGCCATCTATTTTTGTAAATAAAATTTCATTGGAATGCAGCCATGCCGAGTTATTTATATATTGTCTGTGGCTGCTTTTTCATTTATGTGTTGTCTATAGATACTTTTGTGCCACAATGGCAAAGCTGAGTAATTGCAACAGAGGTGGATGGTCCCGTAAACCTAAAATATTTACTCCCTGTGCCTTTATAGAAAAAGTTTGCTGATGCCTGCTGTAATTTCTCAATCTCCCTATTCTTTTGAATGAGTTGGAATATATAACCCCTTCCTTGCACGGGGGACCTGCAAAGGAAAGGCTGTGGTGTCTTGGTGAGGTTAAAGGATTGCAGAAAACCCATGCCACTACACACATCATGCTAAACACAGGCCATGGGGCTGGAACAGACGTATTTTGTTGAAACATATGAAATTGACGTATTGTGGGTCAAAACCATTTAAATTTTGGCAGTTCCATATAGTTCAAACTAATAATATCTCTAGCCCCTACATGTCAAAAGAACCTGCCGTCACTAAATAGAGACTCAGTGGTCTGGAAAGCTCAGTGTCACTGCATCACAATCCTGCGACATTTTTTATTCCTGGCATTTTCTTTCACTTTCAGTTAGTTGTTGCATAAATAATCATTGCACATCTGTTCAAGAATGTGTGCACAACTCTAAGGCCATCCTAGACCTTGAATGAAACTCTTTACCAGCAAGGCATTATCTCCATTTGCGGTGCAGGGGTTCCCAGTGCTGCTATCTTTGCTCCTGGTTCTTCTGATCTGGCGAGACCCCACTGGTGGGGCAGCCTTCTGGGCAGCAGTGTGCTCAGATCGGCTGCATCTGCTCCTGCCCTGTGCAGCTACCAGGCTGTGGTGAGATGGTCTATCCAGATTCAGTTAATTTGGAAACTCAATCTCACTTTACAATGAACATGAGTGCTCTCTTTCTATTAATCTGTAGTCCAACTGAATCACTACAAAGGACAACTTTCACCTGACCATTGTGGTAGAGCTTTGGTCAGTTCCACATATCTTTGAATTTCCCAGTTTCCCACATTGTAGAGGGCGATTTTCGTAGGGACGATAGACACAAAAGATTTGAACACAAATTACAGTGGTGATATGTTTTCACAGTCCAGGTGAACCCCTTCTAGGATATTTGATGTCAGACAAGCAAATAAATATGTGACCCTTTATGGTACAGGAGAAAGAATATGGGGTTTGGGACCTGGATTTCCAGGGATGCGGTTTTGATTCCATCATTTAAAAACTGTGCAATCTTGGATGTACCTCTGAGTCTCTAGAGTGGAGATTACTCAAGTATTCATTGAGAGACTTGACATAGGCAGTCTCTGCGATCCCTAACATTTTAGAAATGCAGTGGTCATACATTTGAGGGTTTATTTGAATTGCCAAGAAGAAAAAGCAGTTTTTAAAGAAGGTATTCAAATGTTAATAATATTTCTCTGGTATATTTGTTTGCAGATCATAAATAACTGGTGGCAGACAGAATTATTAATTATTTTATCAGTATTTTATACACAACTGCTTGATTAGTAATTAGCCACAGGATCATAGCAGATCTTGAAGACATGAAGACATGAAAACAAAAACCTCTCTAATGTTATGTAATGTAATTAGAGTGACCATATTTGCCAGATTTTTTTGGAGACGGTCCTAATTTGTGTTTGTGTTTTCAGCATAATTATTATCAGTGATACTTTTTACTTTTAACATTGTTGCAGTTAAAATGCTAAATTATGTAGTTAGGTGAAGTCTAATCTAAGAAGAAACTGAGGTTAAATTTTTAAAATCACTATGATTAAAATTTAAGGCCTATAATTATTGCATAATGTTGATTTTAGTTTTCTTTTTCAGAAAAATAAATGTTAATACACACCACTATCACATTATAGTCACACAAAAGATGGTTGAAAACTTGACTGACCTAAGGTCACCAGTCTGGGTGTCACTGTTGGGGTATAGAATTAAGACCCTTATACTGTGGTATTGTTTCGAGCATTAGCCTACATTTACTTCCTTTCAAAAGCAAAAATCACTTTAGACTTGCCAAGAGTAATAGGGTCATTGTATATTTTTTAGCAGTCCCAGACAAACCCAATAGAAACGATCTCTTTGTACTTTGTTACTTCTGGGGTTTTCAACTCTGTAGAACAGACATCATGCTTCTTTCCTGCCCTCTCTAAACTGGAAAGACAACCTGGGAGGGTTTATATCTATGATAGGGAAAGGAAAGGCAGGTGGTAGGCATTGCCTTTCTGTCTGTTCATTTCCTTCTCAACGTTATCTTAAATCAACCAAGTCCATGGCCAGTGCAGGTCAAGGGAAGTGTGTGAAAATTTTGTGCAAAATCAGGATTAGTAGAACCCTCCAAGACTCTAAAACTTTAGTAAATATTCCATGCAACAATTAGAAAGTTTTAGCAGGCTTCATCCTACTAGACTGATTTCTTGTCATCAATGTTATAAGTTTGTAAACCGGAATAAATTTGAAATCTGGTTTCTAAGCTCCTGGGGCTGGCTGGGTCATGATGAGGAAAGCATGTCCTCAGTGTGTGTCTGTGTGTGCATGTGTGCATGCATATGTATTTTTGTGCATGTAATGAGTGTGTGTGTGTGTGTGTGCGTGTACATATTTATCCCTTCTTGCCGCAGCATTACTCTTTGACCAGAATTGTTTACTGGCCTATTTTTCTCTTTAGTTTCACAATAAGGTGACCTGCTTCATGCTGCATCACATTGAAGAACCCTGCTCCCTGGGGGCTCATGCTGCTGTTATTGTCCCACCCACTTGGATCATTAAGGTGAAGAAACCTCAGGTAACTGCCAGGACTCTGGTGCTGCTGGGCCAGTGCAGAGAAAAATGAACTGCTGCTTCATGCTTTTCTCCCCAGACTAGTCTTTGGGTTCCTATGACCTTTGTTCACTCATCCCCAAGGCCCTGTGCTTAGCTTCCACAGTTCATCCCATTGGCCCATCTCTTTCCCCGTGTTGGGCTCTCTCGTGGAATCAACCTCCGCATCCTAATGAATTCAAAGTTCTAGAGCAGGAATGTTGCCTCCTCATTCATGTGCTAATGATGTTCTCTTTGATAGGTGCTCTTCCAAGTTTCACTGAGTACTAGTGGTGGGTACAGCTGATGCTTATACAACTCTGTTCTCTTCCAACCTGGGCATCCCCAGAGGGTTAATATGAGGGCAAACTGTGCAGGCTTCATGGTTTGGTTAATATTCCTGCCGCTTCCAACCTGGAAGGCAGACCATGAGTCATGACCTTCCTGAATACACAGGCCGGCTTAGAGCACGACATTTTTTTTTCTTAAGGCAAAGTAGAATTTATTCTCTTAATATCTAATCTCATTCTGTGTTCTCCCCAGTGCACTTCCTGTCCTTGTGAGTCTCCACCTCAGTATTCAGGGAAATCTTAGTGGTTTCTTGACAAGGTCATAATCTTTGAAATAAAATGTTTCTGCCTTTGTACTATACATCTTTGACAGTTATCTTCAAGTTATGGGATGGCAGATTTTTAATGCTATGGGAAGAAAGACTGTACCTCCCTTAGGGTGCAGGTACTTTAGGAAGTCTTATCAAATGCAATACCTTTAAATGACACGGTAGCCCTACTTCCTGCGGTCTCCAGACTCATCACGTAATTCATTCTTGTTGACTCAGGTTTATGTAAAAACTGGTGGATCTGGGATACTGTTTTGCTTTGTGTATTTTATATAAAGTTTAGACTCTGTTGATGAGTAATGTTTAGGAATAAAATTATAGTGTATGGAAGCCCTTGGGATATTTATTTCCAGAGGCAAGTATAGTATCTACATATTAAAAAATGAGGAGCCTAGTGCTTCATTTTATATTTTAGAACCAAATGCCAAGATATGTTAAATGAGTTGCCCAAGGTGATAAAACAAATTAAATATAGTATTGCTATTTGAAATTCAAGTGTACTAAATTCCAGTTTTTATTTTTAAATCTCTTTAACATTTCTTCTTTTAAATTTTTCTAAAATTTGGTAATCTCTCCAAATCTTTACATTAAACATTCATTCAGTGAAATCCACATCCTTCCATTGAAAACCTTGATTGTATCAGGAAGGCTAGTTTAGTAGGCATTGCGATAAAATACATGATCCTTACTCTTGAGAATCTTGTTTTGAAGGGGAAACTTCATAAAGAAGATGGGTTTTGTTCTGCTTTGTAAAAATGGGTGAGATTTAGGTCTGTAGAGAGTGAGTAGCAGGCACACAGGCACAAGTACTGTGTTCAAAACTATATCTGTGGAACTGTGAGTCTAGTTTGACCAAAGTGCAGGGTTTATGCAGAGGGTGTGTGGGAGATGAACACACAATTGCTCAGGCCTGACTGTGGAGGGATTTTTTTTTTTTTTTTAAATAACCGTGAACTTTATCCTGAAGTAGAGGAGTTCCTTTTAAGCGAGGAGTGATAGAGTAAGGGGTGTGTGTGTGTGTGTGTGTGTGTGTGTATATTTATATATATAGTATTTTAGAAAGAAACAAGTAGCAAGAGTGTGTAGAATAGCCTAGTGGTGTGGGAATTTGGAAGTCTGTGGACACAACAGTTAGGAAAATCAGGAGATAATACCAGTTTGTAGGGAAATTGCAAAGTTTACTTTTCTAAAACTTAAGAGACCCTTTTTTAATGGAAATTTTCAAGCAAATGAAGAAAGAGAAAGATTATAATGAATCCTCTAGCCATAAACTTTTCTGCCATTCTTTTTCATTTGTCTTCTGCCACGTCATGTTTTCATTTTATCAATTACCTTTTGCTTTTGGGATTCACATGCAGCTGTGAGAAGCAATACAGAGGAATCACTTGCACCCTTCCAAAATTTCCCTTCATGGTAACATCTTGCAGGATTATAGTACAAAATCACAACCAGGATATTGGCCTTGATTCAGTCAAGATACAGAACATTCTGTCCCCACAAGAATCCCTGGTGGTCCCTTGTCAAGAGCCACATCATCCATTTCCTTCTGGCCTCACCCCGTGTACCCCATCTTCCTGGAAGTGGAAGCCCCCTCCTTTTTCTTTAACTAGAGTATTTTAAAACAAATCTTATACAGCATACCACTTAGTCTGTGAACACTTCATTATGCTTCTGTAAAAGATAGCACTAAAAAAAACCCCAAATGCCACTGTCTCAGTCATGTTAATAGTCCCTTAAAGTTTTTTCCTGTTGTCTAAAATATATCTTTTTTTACTGTTTTTCAAGTCAAGATTCAAAGTTCACAACTGCCTTTTGTTGACATAGTTCTTAAGTCTCCCTTAATTTAGAACAATACCCCTTCTTATTTCTCAGGCCACTTACTCGTTGATGAAATTGGGTTACTTTACCCATAGGATTTCCCATATTTTGATTTTGTCTGATTCTTACCATATTTCCAAATTATTTCTCTTATTGCCCATATTTCTTGTAAACTAATATTTAGACACAAAGACTCAATTATATTTAGGGGTTTTTTTTGGTAAAAGGGATACACTGGCAGTGCTTCGTATTTCTGTCATATTGCCATCGCAGGAAGCGGATATCAGCCATTTCACTCTCAGTGACGCTCAGATCAATCAGTGGGTTTAGGAACTGTCATCCTAATCCATCTATCATAAAGTTCACCATCAGCTTGCCATCCATTGTTATCTATCAAAGATTTTTGACAAAGTCTATTATTGCATTAGGGGTTGCCAAGGAGTCGTTTTCCAATTTTCACTCATTTTAGCTATGATTTTTAGAAGAGACATTTCCTTCATCCTAACAAATACATGACAAATGTTTGAGTATTTGCCTTTACTTGTAAGTTTTCAGAATAATAAGCTGATGCCTTAGCAACCCTTATAGGATGTAGTAGTGGTTGTTTTTTTTTTGGAGAGTATCGTTGTGAAATTGCTTAATGATGTTTTTATGTATTATGTGTTTTTCAATACGATGTCATCGTTCTTCTTCTTATGTTCATACTGTTTCACCTCCAACCAGTTGGAACCTCTGCCACGTGGAGTCTGTCTCCATTTGTTATGAGCCATGAGGTTTTGAGAGCTTCCTTGGTTTTAGGAACAATACCACGTCCCAGGATCATTTAATGCATTTCCTGTCCATACCTGGAATCAGCCTTTCTCTAGAGTCTTGGTTACTTTTAATGGGATATGGGATTTACAGCTCACAGTCTGGATGCAAAGTCCAAATTCATTATTCAACATGTACCTTTTTATTGCCATCTATGATTCAGGACAATGTAATAATAATAATAGTAAGAAGAGAAAGAAACAATAATGTGTTGGGAAAATTTTCAGTATTTTACATTCAGTATCTTATTTTATCATCAGAGTACCCTATGAGAAGGTATCCTGTTATTCTCACTCTATATCTGAGGATTGTGAGGCACAGAGAAGTCAAGTAAATTACCCAGGGTCATACAGTTATTAAATAGTTTGAGATGGGACTTGGACCCAGGAATTTTGATTCCGAAAACAAGCTCTTATTGGTATGCCACACTGCCTCACTGTCTTTCTGTAGCCAGCTTGCTGAATCAGATGTTTTACAATTTTAATAGCCTTTCCATCAAGTAAGTTAACCAATGAACCATAGTGTATTTAAAAGCTGGTGTATAGTGAGCTATAGGGGACAATGCAGCAGTGGTTAAGAGCTTTCTGACTTTTGAGCCAATACTACCTGGGCCCATAATAACCTTGCTGTAGCCACTTAATAAATTATGTAATATTGAACAATTAAACTCTTCTGTTGAAACTCTTCTGACACCAATGTTAAATTCTATAGACATAAAAAACCATGAGGAAGAAAACAAGGAGAAAAGTGATTGTGTCTGTGACCTGTTCATAGATGACAGTAAAAACTCTAGTTTATAGTGTGTAGATCATGGGTGGCAAATGTTTTTTTTTTTTTTTTTTGAATGAAGTTTTGCTCTTGTTGCCAGGCTGGAGCGCAGTGGCGCGATCTCGGCTCACTGCAACCTCTGCCTCCTGGGTTCAAGCAACTCTCCTGCCTCAGCCTCCTGAGTAGCTGGGATTACAGGTGCCTGCCACCACGCCTGACTAATTTTTGTGTATTTAGTAGAGACGGGGTTTCACCATGTTGGCCAGGCTGGTCTTGAACTTCTGACCTCAGGTGATCCACCCGCCTTGGCCTCCCAAGTGCTGGGATTACAGGCGTGAGCCACCACACCCGGCCAATGGGTGGCAAGCTTTTAGCCATGACTTGGAGGTAGATATATTAGAGAATTCATTTAAGACATTGGGAAGTGACTAACAAATGGAAAATTTGGAAGGTAGGTGGAGAACAGCAGAGTAAAATGTTTTTGCAAATTTGAGGATTTACATATATATATGTATGTTTCTATATTCTATCATACTGCTTCAAAATAAATAATAGAGAAGATGTTCTTAATTGAATTCAGTTAATGTTTATTTAACTACATTCAGAGATGCTGTTGTATGCAGTAGAAGGTCCAAAGATGAATCAGACGTGATCCATTTCCACAAAGAGTATACTCAATAGTGGGGAACATAGCTAGAACTGTCTAAGTCACTGGGCAGAGTGTTTGTGGATTTTGAAAGAGGAATTCAGCCATGTATAAATCCTTAATAAAAGAGTGCCTCCTACTGTCTTGGAAGATTTACTTTTTGGTCAGTATGCATCTTTGGGAGAAACACACCTAGGATGGTGAGAGGAAGGGGCCAGACAAGTTGCTTAAATCAGCCATGGTCAGCATCCAAGGTGGTCTAGCTATCCAAGGTGGAGAGTGGTCAGTGCTACCTAAGATGTATAAACACAGTGTGAATATGAAG